TTGTGCAGCCAGCATTGCATATGGGCACTGGTTTGAGTCCTGGCTGCTCCACTTCCAATCCAGCTCCCTGTTGATGTCCTGCGAAAGCATTGGAGGATGGCCCAAACCCTTGGACCCCTACAATCATGTGGGAGACCCAGAAGAATCTCCTGGCTCCTGGCTTCAGACTGCCCAGCTCTGGCCATTGTGATCATTTGGGAAGCGAACCAGCAAATGGATATACTTATTTCTCTTTCCTACTGTATGTCTCTAACTCTGACTAAAATAAATAAAATAGGGGCTGGTGTGGTGGCCTAGTGGCTAAAGTCCTCGCCTTGCATGAATCAGGATCCGATATGGGTGAAACAGAAGGCAGGTGCTTGTGCTTTGACCTGTGAGGCGTGTGCAGCGTGCAGCCACAGCCACCAGGTGAGAGCAGGTCAGAGAGCACGCCCAGTGCCGTCCCTGCACTCTCTGGTTCCCGCCCACCCCTCCCCAGTGCTGGGGAGCCTGGGAGCTGGTGTGGCCTTGGTGCCAGAAAGCCTCAGCCATTTTCTGTATTCTCAGCCTCACTTTGCAAAAGGCATCCCCACCAAGAGGCTCGTGACCACGTGGGCCTGAAAACTTACAACTGTCCTTGATGAATGGCCAAGGGACAGAATCTGGAATATTCTCTGTGAGCAGTCCAGGGTGTGGAAGTGCACAGAGCTGTAAGATGCCACCAAGGGGAAGGGTCCATGGATGGCCCTCGGGTCAGGACACACCCAGCTGCAGGCACAGGAAGGCCAGAGCAATCAGAACTTCCGGTTTCATCTGTCCATGCTGAGAGCTACAGGAGCCCAGCCAAGGCCTCCATGCACTCTCACTCCACTCCAAGAATGTACTCTCTATTCCCGCCTCGTGGTTGAGGCTACCAAGGTCCTGCACAGTGAGCAACTTGCCCAAACACCACGGCTGGCAAGCACAGTGTGTCCACAGAGCCCGCGTTCTTACGTGGGATGCAGCCTGCTGCTCGGCCTAGGATGCGAAAAGGAGAGACTCCAGGAGCGTGTGATGGGTGTACAATGGGGGGGCAGCCCTACATTTTGTGTTGAGGCTGCAGTCAGAGGTCTCGAGGTTTCCCTGGTGACACGCAGACTTGCGCTGTCCTCCAATGCAGATTGGAACACTTATCCACTGAAGCCAAGCAGCCACAGTCCCCTAAAGACATGGCAACTGAAGAGGAGGGCTGACGGACTCGCCTAAGAAATTACACACTTGGCGCTTTTTCTCTTTTAAAAGACTGCCACTAATTAAAGGGGAATGCCACAAAGGGTGGTGACCTGGATGACAATTCCCCTCCCTCACGACACAACCCATCATTTCCATTTCTACTTCTTATAGTCTCCCGGGGTTCAAGGATACAGATCAAAGTTTTTCAGTTGTCGAATTTTTGTATATCTGTGAAACTCTGTCCAAACACAAAGTTTTATTTGTAGAACTGCTGCTGTCAGGAATCGGACACATGGTCAGGATTTCATTCTCAATAGTCATGGCAAGAACCATTATGACCCTCGTTTTGCAGATAGAAATAGTAAGTTGCACAGAAGAGTCTGTGCTTTTCCTGGGGCTGGTGTTGTGGCTCAGTGTGCTATGCTGCCACTGGCAAGGGCAGGATCCCATATCAAGTCTCAGCCACCCTGCTTCTCATACAACTTTCTGTCACTGTGCCTGGAAGGCAGTGGATTATGGTACAAGTAGTTGGGACTCTACTCCCCATAGGGGAGTCCTAGATGGAGTTACAGATTCCTGGTCCAGCTGTCTGGTAGTTACTAAGTTACCACACCATCATGGCATCCCAGTGCCTGTGCATCAGGCTCACAACCATCTGTGGTTTCAAGAACCCCCCTCCCCGAGGCCCCAGAATATGTCCACCAAGGATGAAGAGACCACTTAGTGACAAAATGAATGACTGACAGCCCTGTGTTGTGGTGTAAAAGGCACAGTTGCTGTCTGTGATGTCACCTTCCCATATGGGTGTAGGTTCGTGTGCCAGCTGCCCTACTTCCAATCTAACTCCCTGCTAATGAGCTGGGAAAAGCAGAAGATGGTCCAAGGATTTGGGTCCCTGCCATCCATGTGGGAGACCTGGAGGACGCCCCTGGCTCCAGCCGGGCCTGCCTCCAGCCACTGTGGCCATCCAGAAAGTGAACCAGTCGATGGAAGATCTCTGTGCATTTCTTCCTCTGTAACTGGTTTTTAAATAAATAAATTAAAATGAATATATATATATATATTTTTTACAATCTTTACATAATTAGGGCAAAAAGGTTCAAGCGCTACAGGAAGAAAGTATATAGTTTCCTTAATATATCTGATGTAAAAGGGGATTTCAAGGGAGAAGCCCCACCCAGTCTCCTACAACAATATGAATGACTCTAGAAGCAATCGTACTAACTGAAAACAGCAAGAAAAAGTGAATAACATGGGGGCTGGCATTGTGGTACAGTGACTCCTCTGTCTGCAAAGACAGCCTCACGTACAGGTGCTGACTTGAGCCTCAACTCCCTGCTAATGCATCTGGGAGAGGAGTGAAAGATGACCTAAGTTGGGAGACCTAGAAACAGCTCTGGGCTCCCGGCTTTGGACTGGCCCAGCCCCAGCCATTGCAGCCATTTGGGGAGTGAGCCAGTAAATAGCATATTCTTTCTGTCTCTCTTCCTCTCACCTCCTCCATAGGATTAATTCAGCTAACACCTACGGAGCACCACCGCGGTCTGTCCTCTTCTGTCTCAGGAAGACCAGGTGCACAGGGCTTCAAGGCAGAGTGATGGCCGTGTGTGCTAAATAGCTATGCAACACACTCTGTGAGCCTGTTCCATGGGGGAGTCAGGGAGAGACGCCTGGCTTATCCTGCAGGACAGGAAATACACGTGGACAAAGCCTTTGCCACAACACCAAAGCCTGCGCGATAAAATGCTTGGCAAGCTAAGAGGAGAAACAAATTACTTCCAGTTGTTGAGGGTTCATGGAGGCTGTGGTATGTGAGGGAGGGAAAGGAATTTGTCTGCGCAGACGAGGATCTGGGAGGGTGTGATGCGATCATTCTGTTTCCAAGGGGGTACCCTGCCAACAGAAAGGGCTGGGAAGCCCTGGGAAGGCGGGTTGGGGCCAGGGCCTGCAGAAAGCCCCTGAATGAGGCTCTCTCTCCTGCCCCTTTCACCTGCCCTCTGTGGTGTGACCTCACAGCAGTCTGCTGAGCTGCTGACACACCCTCCCTCTCTGGGTCCCCAAGAGCCTCAAACTGGAAAAGGTAGATTTCAGCCCCAGAGTAGGAGGGTAAAGAAACTCACCTTCAGAGGCATTTGTGGCCCTATCTTTGGGCTTTCCAAGTAGACCTGCCAGCCAGGGTTCTTGGGGGAAAACCAAAAATGGCAAAACAAACAAAAAATCCTTCCCAACACCCCCCCCCCCAAACTTTCCCGTGGCAAAAAGCAAGACACTGCCCTCTGGTGGCAAACAGAAGGTATCGGCGTTCTCCCCGGAACCACAGGCGGACTTGACTGAGACCTACTTGGTACTTTCATACTAGAACCAAAATTATGTTCACACACCAGATGAGTCTAACTTAAGTCTTATTTACCAAATTTCCTGAGGCTCAGGTATTATGTATGACACTGATAAAGCAACTGTCATTGAGAGAAATTAGGAGACTAAACCAAGGTCATGGCTGGCCAGTGCTGAGCAATGTCCTGCTGCACTGGCCAGCACCACTGGACGCCCAGCCCCTCAATAGTGCCCAAAAAACAGGAAGTGGTGATTTTCTTAGGTATGGCCTCAAAGATGTCCAGAACACGCTTTTCCTCTCTCCATAACCATTAAGTGTTTCAGTCTAAAGGAAATGTAAGTTCTTTCTCTACAACAAATGAGGTGGAGCAAAGATCCAGAATTTTGTAAAGCCTCCGCCAATCACCCTTAAGGTGGAGCCCAGTGATACCATCAAGAATGTCGGTGTCAAACAGGGCAGCATCTGGGATTTCCTGGGAAACAGCTGGAGGTCAGCTGCACACTCACAGGCTGCACCCCTCCACTTGCGGCTTCGCCTGTGAAGCGGCACCACTGGGCGGTCCCTCTGCCAGCTGGCCAGCAGGTGCACCTGCCAGAAGATGCCGCTGCAGGTGTGAGGATCCCTGCACTGACACCAACCATCTCCACCCCAAGATCAGTGAAGGCCCTTTCCCCACGGCGCAGCCTCCTGCTGTGGTTTCCCTTCTGTTGATTGGGAAAAAAACAATAAAGGATGCTGATGACTCCGGGCTGGGTGCTTGGATATCCCCGTTGTAAAATTTCGAAATTTTGGGCCCAGCGTGGTGGCCTAGTGGCTAAAGTCCTCACCTTGCACATACTGGGATCCCATATGGGCGTCGGTTCTAATTCCAGCAATACCACTTCCTATCCAGCTCCCTGTTTGTGGCCTGGAAAAGCAGTCAAGGATGGCCCAAAGCCTTGGGACCCTGCACCCGCGTGGGAGACCCATGTGGGACCCCCATACCAGTTCAGATCCTGGCTACTCCACTTCCTATCCAGCTCATAGTTAATGAACTTGGGAAGCAGAGGATGATATCCCAAGCACCTGAGTTCTTGCTATATATATAAGAGATACCCGAACGTAGTACCTTGCCCCAGACTTCAGCCTGGTCCAGTCCTGGCTACTGCAGCCATTTGGGGAGTGAACCAGTAGATGGAACACCTCTCTCTCTGGGGTCAGCCTGTCTTTCAAATCAATTAAAATCATTTTTAAAAGACCACGCAAGATAGTCAAACCCCAACAAAGCAGCTAGATTTTATTGCAGAGAAGCCAGCAAGCAGCAAGTAAGTGAGGGTCTCCATGGGAACTCCCACCACTGAGCAGGATGGCAGGTTCCAGGTCCTTCTGGAAGTCAGGGGAGGAGCGGAGTCCTAGAAAAGATAAACAGTTAGGTGGAACACAGGCGCCATCTGCTGAGTACATGGCCACATTGCAACAGCAGCAAATGGGTGCACACAGATACCTTTAGGAAGGAAGCCAGACCTGCAGGGGCTGGCGTGGCCTGTCAGCCGGTTAGAGCTGGCCTCTGTCCGGGAAGCTCTCTGGGGACATACCCACAGGACCCTACCACCAATAACACAGCACCAGACTTGAACTTGGGATGCCTTCCTGTCTTCCTGCCGCTGCATCCCCTGCAAGGGGTGTTTTGGTCAAGTCACTTTCCCTCTCTGGGTCCCACTTCTGACCGTGGTGAGGACATGCCAATCACTGTCGTTTACTGGTCAGATGTGCTCCGTGGGGATGGGCATCACGAGTGCCCTCTGCTGAGATGGCGAGGCAGTGCTGCGTCAATGAGCTTGAACTTCCCTGTGCTGGCGAGAAGGGCGCTGGGTCCTTGTACTTCCTCCCTGGCTGTGCTAGACCCAAGGGAACGTTCAGCTTAGACGCACATTTCTGCACCAGTCAGAGCACAGGCCCTGCTAGGGTTGTTGAGAGATGTTCCCAGTGGAGAGAGAGAGAGGCCACATCTGAACTCACTCACCCGGCTCTCAGGAGCACAAGGCCCAGGCTGTAGGTTTCAGTCCTGATGGGACCAAAAGGCAGACAGAGCGCCATCTGCTGGTTCACCCCTTTAAATACACACAACAGCCAAGACAGGACCAAACCCAAGGTAGGAGCCAAGAAGATGATCTGAGTGACCCAACCACCTAAGCCATCCTCTCTGCTGCCTCCCAGGGTACATTAGCAGGAAGCAGGAAACAGAGGCACAGTCGGTATTCAAACACAGAGCACTCCAGTGTGGGATGTGGGCATTTCAAGTGGATCCTAACTACTACGCTACACGCCTGCTCTAGGACAGCCAGCTTACCACGGCAAAAGGCACGCTGCTTGGATCACACAGGCCAAGCTTCAACCTCGCTGCGTGTGAAACACTCCATCCACACAGTACCCTGACTCCTTACAAGGGGCTGTCAGGGCCTCTGAACTTAACATTTGCATTAGTCAATGGTGGAAATATTCCTAACGCTCCAGGGTGCTTTCCTGTAAGACCAAGGCGGAACCCCGATGAGAATGCTAGGGCCTCACCCACCTGCCCCCTTTGGTCCATCCTGTGGGCTGGGGCTCCAGGTTCCGGCTACTTGGGGCCGAGGTAGGACACGGTCTTTCCTGTTTTCGTCAGGGTTGCCAGCAGGGCGTCCACACTGTGTTCAGACTCGATGCAAACCTTCTTGTTGGGGAGGTCAATGTTAAACTCCAGTCCTGCAGGAAGAGGAAATGGGGTGTGGGCACAGGAAGCGAGACCCTCCCAGGGACAGCAAGAAGAGAGTTCAGGCTCGTAAACCATCTCTCACAACCCGCTGCCCTCGCCATTCCTCTGCATCACACGGGGCCGCACAGCACAGGTCACGTCTTGGGTGCTGCTGCCCCATCTTGCGTGAGTGTATGTTACGACCACTCTCAAAACCTAAGACCCATTCTAGGTCTGGTTCATGGGCACTGGAGTTTGCTAATCCCTGCTACGGACAAGGGTTTATGTTTTTTTTTTTTTTTTAAATAGCAAAAATAACACAGATATACAATTTTCTAAAGAAGCAAGTTCATGTGAGATTCTCCCATTGACCGCATCCCCAGAGGTCACTGTGAACAGTTAGGCCTCTCGCCTTCTCGCTACATGTGAACAAAAAACAACTCCTCGTGCCATCACGCTTTGGAAGCAAGTTTTGCTAACCGTTCACTCTGCAACCTCCAGACTGCATGGCTTTCCTAGCATACGTGGACTCACTTCACAGGTACACAGAGTGAATGTCCCATACCCCACACTGAGCTTCTGTTATTACGGTAACGCTCTACAAACATCCACGTAAGAATATTTATTTGCTTGGAAGGTAGAGTTACAGAGAAAGAAGGAGAGGGACAGAGAGAGACAAAGAAACCTTTGTTCATTCCCCCAAATGGCTGCCACTGCCAGGGCCGAGCAAGGCCACAGCCAGGAGCCTGGAGCAGAAGGGCTGAGACTCAAATCGGAGCTCATATGGGATGCTGCTCTTACAGGCAGCGTAACTGCTGTATCACACCAGCCCAATGGCGGCTTAAACCTGCCATGATGTGTAAGAACAGAAATTGTGGGGAAAACAACAGACTGGTATGTTCTGAATGCTAGCAGTGCATAACTGCCTTTTAAATGCCATGCCATTTTAAGGGTCCTTAGTTGCACATGGGAGGGGCCAGTCTCTTGAGGAAAGAATATAGAGGGAGGGAGCCCAGTGTGGTAGCCTAGCGCCTAAGATCCTCGCCTTGCACACCCTAGGATCCCAAATGGCCACCAATTCTAATCCTGGCAGCCCTGCTTCCCATCCAGCTCCCTGCCTGTGGCCTGGGAAAGCAGTCAAGGATGGCCCAAAGCCTTAGGACCCTGCACCCACGCGGGAGACCCAGAGGAAGTTTCTGGCTGCTGGCTTCAGATCGGCGCAGCTCTGGTCACTGCAGTCCTTGTGCAGTAAATCATCAGACAGAAGATCTTCCACTCTGTCTCTCCTCCTATCTGTCTGTATATCTGGCTTTTCAATAAAAAAAATAAATCTTAAAAAAAAAAAAGAATACAGGGGGATGGGCTTGTGCTGTGGTATTATAAATTAAACTACCTGTATCAATGGCATCCCACACCAGAGCACAGGTTTGAGTATAAATGCAGAATTACACAGAGATAGTAAGAGAGAAACCTTCCATCCACCGGCTAACTAACCAATTGGCCACATCAGCTAGGGCTGGCCCAGGCCAAAGCCAGGAGCTTGGAGCCTCACGCAGCACTCCCATGTGGCTACAGAGGCCCAAGGACTTGGAGCATCTTCTGCTGCTTTCCCAGGAAGTGGGATTCGAACCAGCACTCACATGGGATGTGGAAGTCACAGGTAGTGGCTTCACATGCTCTCTTTCCACTTCTCCCTTCCTCCTTCCTCTCTCTCTAACTCTTATGTTCCAAACAAATACATATTTTTAAAACAAACAAAAAAAGGAATGCAAAGAGTAACTGTAGGCCCAGGCCTCTACTTCCTTGTTAGGTTAGCTGGGTAGGTCCTGGACAGGTAAACCTCAGCTTGGTCCGTGCAGCCCCGTGGGTCCTCCCAGCTATGTGAGCCATCAAGCAGTCCGTGACTTCTCGGGCCCAGCAAAGTGCTCCCCAGTAACTCAGAAATCCTTTGGACCCTTCTCAGATACCGCCCATGCAGGGATAGCAGTGAAAGGTGGTGTGGAAATTGCTGAGGCTCTAAGGCGGCTCCTCAAGCAGTCGTCAAAGGGCCTGAAAGATCAGGTGAGGCAGGATCCGGTCATAATCTTCCAATCTGTACAGAATGGCTCCCTAAGAGGGGACACAGCTGGGTGGCCTTTGTGGACTTAGGCTGTTGCTGCCAGGAGGATCTCCCTTGATTCCGGTCACCCCATAGAGCTGGAAGAAGGACTAGACCAAACACAGTGAATTTCAAACTGTGTTCCCTGAAGCCTGGAGTTCCAGGCAGGAGTCCTTGACCCGTCAGGAAAAAAGCAGGCCTGCCCTTTTCCATCCACAGCACGAGGATTTGTCTACGCCAGGACATGTTACACCGTGAAAGCTGATCTACACCGACGCTCCCATTCCGCACACAGCGGGGGAAGCCCAGGCCCGAGGGAGGACAGCCACAGTCATGGCCCACGGCAGCAGCTGCTCCTTTCCACCGTTCCGTGTGCTTTCCAATTCAGCTCCCACTTCTGAGGCCTGGCAAGTCACTTCCCCTCTGGGACATCAGTGTCAACGTTCCCATTGCATAGATGGAAAGTACAGCTCGTGGGACCGCTGGTGAGATCACAGCCACGTGCAAGTCATCTGGAAACTTGGCCCTATCACGCCAGAGGGCTTTAAAAACGGACATACTGTAAGCCAGACTGGGCCCTGGCGCTACCAGATTTCCGATCACAGCACTGAGTCCTCCCCCTAGAGAGGGCCCCTGATTATGAAATGAGCGGACTGGAGGAGAATGTTCATTTTCCAAACATCCGAAAGAGGTGCTTTATGAGTTATGCAAATGACTGGTTCAAACCAAGTTTTTCAAAATTGCTATCATTTTAAATATCTGTCACAGAAAACGACACTCAAGTGGATCGTGAACATATTAATGAGTCTCTCCAGAGCTCCTGGGTTGGCCTGTGTAGGCCAAAATACTTTAGTCTCCCTGAACTTCAGCTTGTTCCTGTTGAAAATGGAGGTAGGGGCCCAGTGCAGTGGCCTAGTGGCTAAAGTCCTCGCCTTGAACGCGCTGGGATCCCATATGGTCACCGGTTCTAATCCCGGTGGCCCTGCTTCCCATCCAGCTCCCTGCTTGGGGCCTGGGAAAGCAGTCGAGGACGGCCCAAGGCCTTGGGACCCTGCACCCATGTGGGAGACCTGGAAGAGCTCCTGGCTCCCAGCTTCGGATCAGCACAGTGCTGGCCGTTGTGGTCACTTGGGGAGTGAATCATCGGATGGAAGATCTTTCTCTCTGTCTCTCCTCTATGTATATCTGACTTTGCAATAAAAATAGATCAATCTTAAAAAAAAAATGGAGGTAGCCAGAGACCACTCCTGAGATGGCCATGTGGCCCACAGTACCTGGAATATGCTAGGGACTCAACACATTTTAGTTTTACTTCTATCAGCAGCTCACATTCCACCCCTCCAGCCACGTCCACACGCATTAGAACCTATGGGCACCTGTGTCTCCCCAGCCTCCCACATGCTGGCAACTCACTCACCTCCCATCTTGTTGAGGACTCGAGAGACGGCCTCAGCACAGCCCTCACAGGTCATATCCACGGAGAACTCGTGTTTCTGAAACAGTGGGGAACCAAGAGTCAAATAACACACGTATTCAAACTGCAGCAGCTTGAGGGCCCACTCAGGGGCCGAGACAGAGCCAGAGAGCCTGGGCAAAACCTGGCTCGGGCCGGACTCACCAGCAACCTATCTTTCAGCTGCAGTCACAGCAACTATAAAAGGAAGGAGCCAAGTGTGCCTGTACCTTTTAAAAATTTTACAGGTTTATTTACTTTTATTGGAAAGGCAGATTTACAGACAGAAAGATCTTCCATCCACTGGTTCACTCCTAAGTGGTCACAATGGCTGAAGCTGAGCTGATCTGAAGCCAGGAGCCAGGAGCTTTTTCTGGGTCTCCCACACAGGTGCAGGGTCCCAAGGCTTTGGGTCGTCCTCTACTGCTTTTCCAGGCCCCAAACAGGGAGCTGGATGGGAAGTGGAACAGACAGAACATAAATCGACACCCACATGGGATCTTGGTGCTTACAAAGGGAGGATTTAGCCTTCAAGCCATTGTGCCAGGCCCCAATATTTATTTCTAATTTATCTGAAAGGCAGAGTTAAGGAGAGAAGAGGAAAGACAAAGAGAATCTTCCAAGCATTGGTCCATTCCCCAAATGGCCACAAAGGTACAGGGGCTCAAGCACTGGGCCATCTTCCGCTGCTTTCCCAAGTGCATTAGCAGGGAGCTGCTTTGGAAGTGGAGAAGCCGGAACTGGAACCAGCACCCTTATGGGATTCTGGCATTGCAGACTGAAGCTTAGCCTGCAATGCTATCATGTTGCCCCAAGTTCCCAGTTATTATAGGCTGTCTTTTTAAATTCTTTTTGGTTCTTTAACTTATTTACTCAAAAGGCAGAGAATCAGGATGACAAAGGAAAAGGGCTCCCACCTCCTATCCTTTCTCTCACCCCCCAAAGTGCCCACGATGGCCTGGGCTGCACTCAAAATCACGAGCCAGGAGCTCCATCCAGGCCTGCTAGGTGGGTGATAAGGACCCAGCGGCTTGAGCCATACTGCAGCCTCCCAGGGCAACCATTAGCAGGAGCAGGGAAACCCAGACATTACAACATAGCTGCACCCCTCACAGGCTTGCGTAATGAGGTAATCCCTGTCGATCTTTTTTTTTTTTTAAGTAAATTCCTTATTCTTCCATGATCCCTATCAAACTTTAGCAATGTCTGACAAAAATGAATAGAATCATTTAGGGCCTGGCACAGTATCCGAGCACCTAAATCTTCATCTTGCATGCACTGGATTCCCATATGGATACTGGCTACTCCCATCCCAGCTACTCCACTTCCCATCCAGCTTCCTGCTTGGGGCCTGGGAAAGCAGATGAGGATGGCCCAAAGCCTTGGGACCTGTGTGGGAGATCTGGAAGAAGCTCCTGGTTCCTGGCTTTGGCTCAGCTTAGCTCTGCCCGTTGGGGCCACTTGGGGAGTGAACCAGTGGATGGAAGATTTTTCTTTCTGTCTCTCCTTCTCTGTAAATCTGCCTTCTCAATAAAAATAAGCAAATCTTAAAAAAAAGAAAAATCACCTGGAAAGTTCATTTAAAAGCCACCCCCACTGCCTGAGTCCTACCTCTACAGTTTTTTGTTTTGTTTTATTTTGAGCCATGGGAAGCAACTCTGACATGGAGAAGTTGACAAACCCCAAGTAACACCTATTTCTATATTGGAGTCACTGGGGAACTTACTAGAACTTCTGACCAACAGGAATAGTCTGGGGCATCAATAATGTCCCATGAGCCTGCCGGATTCTCCACTAAGCACATCACTCTGAGAGGCAGCCACCTGAGTGTGGGGAGAGCAAGGACCTGCCAGGACTGCCCAGGAGGTTGTGCAGGAAAAGACTCCAGGCTCTGGAACTCTCCCCGTAGGCTCTATATTCCATAGCCTCCAGGAAACCTAACAAATCAAGAGTCTGAAGGCATGCTTAATATAGGCTGTTGAATGAAACTGATGATTGATGTGGCTGACTGGGGACATCCAGGTCCTTTGATTTCAGATAAGGGTTACTTAAATCAATGCTTGCTTTATTCATTAGGATCTGACAGATCTGCCTTCCGTGAATGAGTAAGCTGTTTAACCCCTCATTTGCCTTTGTTTGCACATCTGCAAAACAGCAATGACAGACCCCCAGGACGGCGGACAAGGGGAAGCAGGACCTAGCAGGGTGGCCAGTAAGCAGGGGAGCCTGTGACCTTGAAGAATTGCCTTCCACGACGTCTCAGGGTTGGCTCCTGTTTCTGATAGGATACAGCTGAAGTGACAGTACGTGACTCTTGCCATGCTCTCCTCTGGGGATCCCTTGACCTAAAGGAGGGGGTTTCTCCAGAAGGATTCACAAGGTAGGAAACTGCATTCTCCGGTCAACATCTTCTCTGTGGCTTAAAAAGGAGAGCCCCTGGGTGAGGCTGCTGCCAGACTCCTGACTCTCGGAATCTAATCACTAGCCAACAATAGATAACTGATACTTTGGGTAAAGGGCTGGTGGCCTAATACTAGGTTCCAGGAGATAGGTTAGCTATTGGATAATTACAATGATTAGTTTATTTCCTCTCCTTCTTTTCCCTTCAGAAAGTAATGGCTATGATTTTTAAAAACCAAAACATGAAAACTATAGCTTCAGGCGGTAACACAATAGCTACGGTTTTCATAGAGCACTTCAAAATATTGACTACCCTATGTAGAATTCTGACTAAAGCTTATATATCTGTATATCTATATCTTGATTTCAGGCAAGGTCTCTGTCCCTAAGGAACCTAGTTTCTTATCTATACTAACAGGGACTTTGCCACTCAGTCTTTCTTATTTATCTTTTTCTCTTTTCTTTCTCTCTTTGTTTTAGAATATTTGCTTTTTTTTTTTTATTAGAAAGTCAGATTTACACAAAGAAGGAGAGACAGAAAGAAAAATCGTCCATCTGCTGCCCCAAGTGTCCGCAAGGGCCAATCTGAAGCCAGGAGCCAAGAGCTTCTTCCGGGTCCCCCATGTGGGAGGAGGGGTGTAGGGTCACAAGTATTTGGGTTGTTCTTTACTGCTTTCCTGGGTCACAATCAGGGAGCTGAACGGGAAAGAGAGCAGTCAGGACACAAACCATCGCCCAGATAGGATCCTGGCACATGCAAGGCAAGGATTTAACCACTAGGCTATTGTGCCAGGCCACACTCAGTCTTTTTAATTTCAGTATCGGGGCTGCACAAGAACCCTCATCTCTTGAAGCCTCGTCTTTCCAGTAACTGTGCTGTTACACACAGCGGAGTGGGAGGTCTTCAGAAAATACATGGAAATAACATACACGAGTTAGGGAAAATCTTCATGAATCTCAAAGCTGTCTACCCCAAAACCAACTCATGTTTCCATTCCGTTATTCTGTTATTCTGTTTTGAAGCACCCGTGCAAGATGCTGGCATTCTTTCCAGTCCTGCTAGCTAACAGCATTCCTGGGACTCACTGCTTCTAATTCCTATTCTATAGATAAGGAGACCAAGGTAAAGCAATGTGGGCAAAGATTTTTTTTTTAACCGCAATTTTTGGGCTCAAAACACTGGGCTCTTCAGCACTGGCCACCTCCCAGGCAGCCCACTCTGCTTCCTCCAGTTTTTCTCTTTTTTTAAATTTTGTATTTTATGGTACAATTCCACAGAGTCAGATTCCTCCACCTCAAACTCTCACCCCCCCCACCGACTGATTTTCCCCATATTGTTACAATAACGTATTCCTTCATAAGGAATTATAACTCCTTCAGTTTGTTATTTAAGTGTGCCCTGACATTGCAGGTACAGACAATGTCAGACAGTCCAGCATCCCATTGTCCAGATATGTCCAACAGTTTCATTGGGAGTCCATCTTTGATTTGGAAGTGAGGATGCACATGGCACTGTATCTTCACATCTGGATATGGTAGTCTCTATCACACCATCACTATACATTCCCTTAAATGAGAAGTCATGAAATAAGGTCAACAACAGGTATGAAGTTAAAACAAAAATAAATCGAAGGAAAAAAAATACAGCACCATGGAGTAGGAAAAAAAAAAGCTCACCTGAAAAACCAATGCACAGGTGGTGAAAACACAAAAGTTTCTTGGGTAAAATGATGTCAGTGTGCGATCCTTCAGCCACTCATCTGTGGGCTGGTGCCAAGGGGCCCTGCTCATTTGGATTTTCTGCTCAAGAGGATCTTTTGTCTGTTATAATCCCCGTGGGCAAATCAAAACTGGTTTGATCCTCAAACTGGTCTTTTCTTTACATGAACCCTCCTCACACCACCTGGTGACCCACTCTCTCCAGACCCAGGGTGATTCATTGCTTACTTCAAACCTTGCCGCAGGTAGACCTGCTCAACTGGTACTGGCTCATTCTTTGTCCAATCTGAGTGCTACCTGCCTCAAGGTACCTGGCAAGACCTCAGGAAAATGATACCCAAGATGTTTACAGCTCTTCTTAGAGGGCCTCAGGCTCTCAAAGACAGGCTGCTAAGACAATGGGGCTCCAAGGGACACCTCTGAGTACTCTCCTGGGGTAGAGCCAGGGAAAGCTGACACCTGAGAGCGTTAAACACTGTGACCTTCATCAAGACCTCAAGAATGCAACTAGGAGACAAACTTCCTCCCAAGTGCCTGAGAACGCTTTTGCTCAGCAGGTCCTACCTGCTCAGGCCAGCAGCCCGGGATGAGCCTGGAGATAAAGGTGCTTAATTATAACTCTAACCAACTCCAAGATGATCTTAAATGAGTTACCTAGCTTTTCATTTTTACTTTTTATCTACCAAAATAGATTCATTTATTTATTTGAAAGGCAGGGTGACAGTGAGATCTTCCACCAGCTGGTTCACTCCCCAGATGGCCACTTGCAGCCCAGAGCTGGGCCAAGCTGAAGCCAGGAGCTAGGAACTCCGTCTGGGTTTCCCATGTGGGTGGCAGAAGTCTGGGACACTTGGGCCATCCTGCCGCTGCCTTCCCAGGCACATTGGAAGGGATCTGCATTGGAAAGGGAGTGGCTGGGATCAAAGCAGAGTTTTGATGTAGGATGCCTGCCACATCAAATGGCTTAACCCACTGCACTACAATGCCAGCCACTGAAGTTCCTGGATTTCTTATGTAAAAGTGGAGTGGGTAGGCATATGGCGCAGCATCCTAGTGACCAAATCCTCACCTTACATCCACCAGGATCCCATATGGCCACTGGTCTGTGGTCTGGCTGCTCCACCTCCCATCCAGTTCCCTGCTTGTGACCTGGGAAAGCAGTCGAGGACGACCCAAAGCTTTGGGACGCTACAGCCACATGGGAGACCTGGAAGAAGTTCCTGGCTCCTGGCTTTGGATTGGCTTGGCTCTGGCCATTGTGGGCACTTGGGGAGTGAATCAGTGGACAGAAGATCTTGCTCTCTGTATCTCCTCTCTGTATATTTGCCTTTCCAATAAAAAAGTCAAATAAATTTAAGAAAATGCTACTTGGAAGGCCTTCGTTCCATTCTGGAATGTGTGGGCTTGAGTGCTGGTTGCACTAACCCATCCAGTTTCCTGCTGTGCAGCCCTGGGAGGCAACAGGTCTGGTGGCTGTGTCCAGGACACCAACTTGTGGGATCCGGACTGAGTACGTTCCAATTCTAATTGCATGAAAAAGATATCACAGAATGTGGTAAGACCAAGCGAACACCAAGCTACGGAACCAGTGTGGGCATAGGCCTGTAAGTTTTCGTATTTCATCTTCCTTCCCAATAGCTACTAGGCGGCTCCACATAGGCCCAGGTGAGGACGTGGCTATTGCAAACAGAAGAGCACTGTCCACATTCCTGGCTTCCAGTGCTGATCTGCAAAGAAGGCAGAGCCCGCGCGCGGGCAAAGGGCAGAAAACACTGAACGCCTGCAAATCCGGGTAGCTCCTGAGGCCCGAGCCCTCACCGCGTTCTTCCAGGCCAGCTCTACAGGCAGGGTAGAGCATCCACGCGGAAGAGCGGATCCCGCTGGCCCGCCAGTCTCTGGGTCACACCGGCTGACTGTCCCCTCGCTGCTTCCCGGAGCTGCAGGGAAAGGTTTGGGTGGGCAGCCACCGAGGGCCTCACAGCGCCCAGGTTCTGCAGCCCGGCCCCCCAGATTTCGGATCCCGTTTTCTGGAGCCTCCTACAATCTGAGTGTGTGTGTGGAGGGGAGGGGGCAGTTTGAGCTACAATAACAGCTCCGGCCGCGGCCTTGGCCGTTTGAAAAAGCAACATCTGGCCCAGCGGCGGTGCATCCAGGTCACAAGCCCAGGATCCTGGGTCCATGCAGGCGGGGCGGCGCAGCCACTTACCGGCATGACAGGCTCAGTGGGGTGGGGATGGCGGCAGCAGTGGTGCCAGGGAGCGGTAGCGGCAGTGGCGGCGGCAACGCGTCTCTGGGATTCTAGAAGGGCGGGCTCTGCAGCGCTTCCGGGAGTGCGCGCCGATCGGCCCCGCCCCTCGGCCCAGCAGACTCCGCCCCTCAGAGCTGGCGGTCCGTGGGCTCCGCCCCCTCAGCCTCCGACCCCCCGAGCTCCCCTCCCCCAAGGCTGTCGTTCTAGAAGCTTGCACACCCCTGAACATCTTGGCCACGCTGGCGAGAGGAGGTGAGAGGGTCGCTGTCCTCAGCCAGTGACTGTTGGCCATTTTGGGGGACGGCCATAGCGTATTGGGTTTGTGTTTGGTGTTGAGAGGCCAGGGGCCCGACGATCCCTCAGTCTGTGGCAGCCGCGTGCCGGACAGGAGGCAGTGCACGAGGCTGCGGCCTGTGGTGCCGTGGTGAAGGAAGTAGAGGAACGGTCCCTGAGTGGGACTGGAGTGGGGCGGGAAGGGGCCGTTCCCCGGGAGGAGGTTGTGGAGTTGGGGGTGCAAGTAACCGCTACATTTGGCTTCTGTAATCGTTGCTTGGCTTTGCTGCATAAAGAACAGGACTGACGCCATGATGGGCCTAAGGTCATGAAGTAGGCCTAAGTTTCACTTGTCACTTCAAAGTTGCTTTTTCCTCAGAGTGATGGCGTGGGCAGGAGGGAACGACCTTGGAGATGGGCCAGTCAGGGGCATGCGCATGTCCACAAGTGGAATGTGGTCTGAACTGGTACAGGTCGCACAGGAATGTGGCCTACACCGCTATGAGCTACACGTGACCAAGATAAGGACTGCACGGCTTTCTGGGGACGTGTTGGACATGACTAAGAGGGGATAAAAACGGTTCGCAAGAGACCAGCGGGGTCCTTGTGGAGACTCCACTGTGATGGATGAGACATGGACCCTAGCTCGAGCTAGCAATAAAGTTTCTTTGCCTTTGCACTGTTGCATGTGGAACCTGTCTGTCCGCGGTTCGGGGATCTTTTGGACCAAACAGGGTCCCATTTCAGGCCAGGGGAGCAGCGTGTGCGTTCGGGAGTTGCAGGGCAAGAGTGGGTCCGACATGTGGGACAGGCACCCGCAGAGACACGAGAAACCTTTCTGCAAAGGATGTGCTCCCGGCCCTGTAGGAAGGCCCGTGCAGGCAGGATTGCCCTGGGAAACTTAGAAACAGGTTTGCCCAGGCCCGGACTCTGTGTGTGTGTGTGTGTGTGTGTGTGTGTGTGTGTGTGTGTGTGTATGTGTGTGTATCACCATCTGACTCTGAAGATCTCTCCTGGGCAGAAGTGCTTGGAGAGTTTAGCAAACACTAGGGTTCCTTCCTGGTACTTATGAAAATGTGGGTGGAACTGGAAGCTGTTATACAGTTTTTCAAAGATGTGATTTTTCAAAAAAAAATCTCTTTAAGATTTATTTATTTTTATCGCAAGGTCAGATATACAGAGAGGAGGAGAGACAGAGAGGAAGATCTGACCAATGATTCACTCTCAGTGATCCCAACGGCTGGAGCTGAGCCTATCCGAAGCCAGGGTCCTCTTCCGGGTCTCCCACGCTGGTGCAGGGTCCCAAGGCTTCTGCTGTGGTTGGGGGCCAGCTGTACCCTGGGCCAGCACCTTCACTCTAGAACCCTCCCTTCTTGGATGGATTTACATCAGTGTCCAGTGGAATACCTTTCTGTGAGTAGCTTTTCTGGACACCATCAAGGGGGGTAGATTTCCAGTCCGATGGTGGATGTTTAGCAGGTTTCACCAGCACAGCACCACACCACCACTTCTGTGCCTTCCCTGGGATGTCGCTGGGTCCTCTCCAACAGCATCTAGACCTTAACCCAAAGTGAGCATAGGAGCTTCATCCTGACACACACTCTCTTAGCCTCATGGGCAATAGCTGCCACTGGTTTTGCTATTCTTAAATTTCTTAAAGTTCTCATTGCTTCCTCCTAGTCACTCCTTCCTTACTGTAATCCCATTAAACACTTAACATATTTCTGTCTCAAATTATACTGTAGTTTCTGATTGGGCCCAGACTCAAACAGGGAATGGCAATAGCTGCCTACTGTAGTTGAGGGAAGAAAAGCTAGATTCACTGTTTTTTTTTTTTTTGTAAGATTTAATTTTATTGGAAAAGCAAATTTACAGAAGAGGCAAAAAGATCTTCTGTCCACTGGTTTACTCCCCAAGTGACTGCAATGGCTTGGAGTTGAGCCAATCTGAAGCCAGGAACTTCTTCCAGGTTTCCCATGTGGATGCAGGGTTCCAGGGCTTTGGGCCATCCTCCACTGCTTTTCCAGGCCATAAGCAGGGAGCAAGACGGGAAGTAGAGCAGCTGGGGCATGAACTGGCACTCATATGGGTGCATGCAAGGCAAGAATTTAGCTTCTTGAGCCATCACGCCGAGCCCACTAGGTTCTCTCTTGATCTACGTTTAACGAACACAAGTGGAAGAACTCAGCCTCGGCCAGCCCCAGTTGCTGGCCTACTTTTAGCATGCCATATGGCAGGAAGGTGGATATTAAAACCTGTCTTAACTGGCTTCAATGTGCTAGCAAAATACCACACCCTGGTGGGGCTTAGGCAACACACATTTTTTTCTTACAGTCCTGAATGCTATGAAGTCAAATCAAAGTGTTGCCCCATTCGTCACTGACAAAAACCTTCATCCTAACTACCAGAGTTGCCGTCTTGCTGTGTGCCTTGCACTGTGGGAAGTGAGCATTCCTTCTAATTTTATCAAAGACTTACTTATTTGAAAGGCAGAATTACAGATTGAGAGAGAGAGAGATCTTGCATCTGCTGGTTCATTCCTCAAGTGGTTGCAGCAGCTGAGGCTGGTTTGGTACAAAGATAAGATCCAGGAATTTCATCCAGGTCTCCCATGTGGGTTCAGGGGCTCAAGTACTTGAGCCATCTTCTACTGCTGTCCCAGGCATATTAGCAGGAAGCTAATTGGAAATGGAGCAGCCAGGACTCTAACTGGTGCCCATGTTGGATGCCAGCACTTCAGACAACAGTTTCATAAGCCATACCATAATGCTTTCTCCTTTTTAGAAAATGTTCTTCTGTGTATAATTTGAAAGGCAGAATGATATTACACTTGGTCTTAGCCAAAAGACCAAGAAGTAAAGGCAGAGTGATATACACAGAGAGAGAGAGAGAGAAATCTTTATGTTTGGACTCACTCCCCAAATGGCAACAATGACAAGGACTCGTCAGGCCAAAGCCAGGAGCCTAGGACTCCGTCTGGGCCTTCCACGTGGGTGGCATGGTCCCAATTAATGAGCTAATCCTCTTCTGCTTCCTGAGACACAGCAGGGAGCTGAGTGGGAGAGGAGTAGCTGGGAACTGGCACTCTGATATGAGATGCCAGTATTGCAAGTGGCAGCTTAATGCATGGTACCACAGCGCTAGTCCCCTCTCCCCTTAGATTAGGGCTCTACTCCGTGACCCCAATTTAACCTTTATTACCTCCTCACAGGCCTTATCTGTAAATACTGTCACACTGGGGATAAGGATTGCTAAGTGAATTTTGTGGGATACAATTCAGTCACCAGCATAACCACACAGATTTTGAATCTCAGCCCTATCATTTACCTCTTAGGTAGCCTTGGGCAGATTAATTACCTCTCTAAGCCTCAGTGCGTTCTCTTATAAAATGGGTGGTTGGTTCTGGTGTTGTGGCATAACATGTAAAGCTTTGTGTTCCAACTGCTTTACTTCTAATCCAGCTCCCTGTTAATGACCTCAGAAAAGCAATAGAAGATGGTCCTCCAGGTGTTTGGACTCCTACCAACCACATGAGCAACCCAGAAGACGCTCCTGGCTCCTGCTTTGAGCCTGGCACAGCCATATGCGGAGTAAACCAGAGGATACAAACTCTCCCCCTCTCTGACTTTCAAAACTATACATATATACATACATATATGCATACATTTTAATGGCGCTAGTTAAGGAAACTATACAACTTCTTATGCCAACCTTGAGAATGAAAAGACATTAATAATTAATGCCAGGGAGCTGGTGCAGTGCTACAGTAGGTTAAGCCACTTGTGACACAGCATCCCATGCCACAGCATTGGTTTGGGTTAGCTCCTTGCTACTGTACCTGGGAAAACAGTAGAAGGTGGCTGAAGTCCCTATGTCCCATTCCGAACTGACATTTAGATTCTTTTTCTCAGTATTACAATAGTAGTATAATGAATACCTTTGCTCTCTATGTACATGTGGAAGTGTGTCCGCAGGGTGGATATCAAACAGTAGAATTTCTGCATAGGTGGTATAGTTATATTTTCATGGATATTTTCAAATTTCTCAGGAAAAGGCCAAGTTGATTTATTATTTCATACTTGGATTATGAAAGAAACCTATTTCCCCATGCCTCTGCTGATATTTGATTTTTTTTTTTTTTGTAATTTGGTGATTGAACAGTTATTTCTTTTGCCTTGATTTTCGCATCTGTTGAGATGAGCTATTTGAGGATTAGATGAGCTTTGCCCAGGCCTCCTTCTTTCTGAGTTGAATTTGGGTTATAATAGTACAAACTTGTTTGGGATACTAGCTGTGCCACTTGAAAGCTATGTAATCCCAGTCCAGACATTTAAATTTTCTGATCCTCACTTTCTAGTGCTACAAAGCTGAGTTAATACTTCACAGGGGTTTCATGAGAGTCAGTTGGAAGCTGCCTGGTGTCGTGCCTGTCCAGCAGGAGGTGCTGGGTGTATGACACATTGTTTCCTGTTGTCAAGCTCATACTCAGGGCCAGCTGGGAAGAGCTCTGTGCAGGTGCTGCCACACCCAAGAGAATGGAGGGGAAAACCACCCCAGTCTTTCAGGGGTTTCTAACACCACATCTCATTTTATTTATTTTTTATTTATTTTTTAATTGAAAAACCAGATTTAAAGAGAGAAGAGGGAAACAGAGAAAGATCTTCCATCCACTCTAACAACAGAGGAGCTGAGTCAATCTGAAGCCAGGAGCCAGGAGCTTCTTCCGGGTTTCCTACATGGGTGCAGGGTCCCAAGGCTTTCGGTCGTGCTCCACTGCTTTCCCAGGCCACAAGCAGGGAGCTGAATAGGAAGCAGGGCTGCTGGGACACAAATCGGTGCCCACATGGGATCGTGGCATGGGCAAGGTGAGGACTTTAGCCACTAGTCTACCGTGCCAGGCCCCCATGTCCCATTTTTATAATGAACTATATTCCTTCACTGGGCAATAGTGACAAGTGGATGAAAAAAACATGGACTTAAAGCCTTAGTCTCTGCTATTAGGCCTAATGTACGTCACTTGAGGCAAGTGACTTAGCCTCTTGGAGCCTGAGTCTGTATTGCAGAAATGGAAAAGGGATTGTCCAGAACATGAATGCTGCTTGCAAACAGTGAACAACACTTGTGTGACTGACTCATGGTCAGGGCTCCTTTGAGGTGGGGGTGGGGTGGGGTGTTTGCAAATGGTCAGTATTCAAGGGAGGAGTGAATCCATTTAGGCATGCATTTCTAAGCCAGAAAGGGGGCTGTTGGATCTTTTTGTGGTAAGCAACAAGTGGAAAGGAAGTTAGCTGACTGGGAAGACATGGATTAAGATTTTGAAGTCTCATTTTCAAAAATTTCTCATACACCTTCCTAAAAGGCCTAATTTGTGTGCCCTCCTGTTTGTACTTAAAACTCAAAGTTTCTATATTATAGTTCCTTATGTTACTATTAAAATTTATACTTAAATTTTTTTTTAAATATAGGTTTTTTTTCCCCTGTTACACAGTATCAAAGATTCTAGACTGGTTAAGAAGTATCCTGGTCAAAGTTCCCTTCCCTGTTATTAATAATTAACAGTTGCTTGTGAGCCTTTCCAAACATGTGCATTTTCCACAAAACGTACAACAAATGTACATTGCCAAACAGCAGTCATATGTCCATTAATAATCATCCTGTTTTTACAGAAATGTGAGTACACTTTTCCTGTTGTTCTGCACTCGAGTTTCTTCATTCATTCACGCCTCTTGGAGCCCACCCAGTAACTGAGTAGTAAATCGATTCTCACTTCTGTATGGCTGCCCGACAGTCCACTGTGCATGTACTGTATCCAAGGAGTCCCAATGTGCCAGGCTTCGGGTCTTTGCTGCGTCCTGCAAACCATGCTGTAGTGAATGGCATACTTAGTTCACAAAGAGTTTTAACTCTTAAAGAGACACACACACATTGTTAGTCATCCTTCAAGCACATTAACTGTATTTGGGGGGTGGAGGATGATCTGCGATTCTTAGGAACATTCCTTACATAGTATTTTCACTTCCTGAATTGAACTGTATTTTCTGGGGCAGGTCTTGCCCACCATGCTTCTTCTCACCCTGATTGTCAGACTTTTGAGGGGAAAATTGGCAGAGAAATGGGAAGTAGTAGCCTAGAGGTGTGAGTAGATTTTGGGTGGCAGTGGAGGAAGCCAGGGTCTCCTGCTGAGAGGATGAGGCTTTCTCAGCTGTGACACTGCAGGCTGTTTGGGTGGGGACTCTCCTGGGCAGCCCTGCCTTCCACTCACTGGATGTCGGCAGCCCCTCTGCCCCCATACCACTGCGCTAGACAGTTCACAGGCAATGATCATTCAGGATGGAGGTGGGGAGACCACCCCAAGAGGCTGCCAACCTGCTATTTCGTCTGGCATGCGCCACCTGGGGGATCTTGCTGGCATTCTGCCCCTGGTAATCCAGTCCCCCTTCCTTTTCTTTCTTCTACTTCCTATTACACAACAAGGAGGAATACAGTCTCATTGAAAAGCTTTTCAGTAATACATTGCCTTCATCATACTCAACCTAGGGGATTGTCTTTGCATAATGACTATTATTTTAAGTGTGCTGCCGTCCCTATGTAGTTGCGTAATTTACAAGAATCAGGAGTTTATGTACTGTGTGCTTCACTGGATGCTCCATCCAGTTGACAATTAGAATGTGCTTTATAGCTGTGTAAGTCTATCTCTTACAAAAAAAAAATTGCATTGCATAGTAAGTATTTTGGGTGCTTATCATCTTGGTTTGTCTACTGAGGAACATTTAAGTTTACAATTTTTAGTTACTCTAACAATGCCCAAGTACATGGTACAGTACATGTCTTTGTAAATAAAAGTGGCTATCGGCCAAGGAGAGGTACAATTTTGGGGGAAGGACTATTTTGATACAGTTAGAGCCGTAGCAATGAAACCCCCTTTCTGGGTCTCCTACCATAGTCTACCTGGGTTAAATTACCAATCTGTAAATTTAAAAATTTTGCCTACTTGTTCTTATTAGCTTTTCAGTTTGGAGTCATCTTGTAAATCACAAATCTCAGTTGTGCTTGAGTGCCTTGCTGGGTTCTTGCTCTATTGCCTTTTCCCCCCTATGAATACAGGAATTTCATATTCTCTTTTTTCTCCATTTTTTATTTGGATAGCAGATACACAAATCTTCACCCACTGCTTCACTCTTGAAACACCAACACAGACAACCTGGGCTGGCCGGGTTGAAGCCAGGAGCCCAGGATGTAGAATCCAGGTCAGGTTCCCCGAGGACAGGCACCATCCGTCATCTGGCAGAAAGCTCTCACTGGAGGTGGACCCAGCACCTTCTAGAACCCAGGCATTGGGATATGGGATGTGGCCCCTTGCAACAGGCTTCTTAACAGCTGTGCCCAACACCAGCCCTCACATTCCTCCTGCAGCATAGTGTGAAGTATGAGTGAGCCTGTAAGACCAGTGTCCAAATCTACAGGAAGAGAAGATGAGCAACAGTCTCTGCATGCAGTCCGCCCAACTGCGGCTGTCCAGGAACCCGGTGACTGACAGGAAGCAACAACTGAAAGTCAGGCTGTTACACCTGGTGGAGGCAGGAGAGGAGGAGCCCTGGAATGAAGTGTCTGACCCGGAAGTGATTTCCAGAGTACAGACAACATTCCCTGGAGGTATAATATAACTTAATTTAGTCTTGATGTCACCAGGAAATTAAAAAGAACCACAACTGGTTACTGTGCGAGAAGCAGGTGAAGGGAATTGTAGGTTAAGCGACCAGAAGCTGAAACTGTGCTTGCACATGTACATTTAACGGTTAAGTCTCTCCATAAAGGTTTAGACTTTACTGCTAAAACAAAACAAACAACAACAAAACACCTGATAGTCCTAAACTCTTTCAAAGGCCTTCAAGGTGCTAGCTCTCCATTGCCCTCAGATTAAAGTCCAAATTCCTTCCCATGGCTAACATCTCAGTTTCTTCCTCAGCTCCAGGAAATTAGCGGCTTTTCTCTCCCAGGACCGAGAGCCCCTGGAAGCCCGGTCCCTTGGTTTTGGGAGTCCCCTGCTCGGTGCAGCACCCCATGTTCCGTGGTGTGGGCGAGGGTGCACAGGCATCATCTTGGATCTCTGCTTTTGGCGCTCAGTAATGCCGAATGAGGGACGCTCACGCGAGCGTGAATCCGGGAGGACCAGAAACGCGAGGCGGCGCGGTCCTCGGGTGCCGCCCGTTGCTCCAGGCGCGTCGGTCTCCCAGCTGGGCCGGTCTGCTTGGCGTCTCTCTCCGGCAACAGAGCCGCTCCACGCGCTTCATTTCCAAATTTCTCAAGAGCAGCTTAGACGGTCACATGCCTGGGGAGGACAGACCGGGGCGGGTCAGTCCCCAGCCTGTTGGATCTGATGCTCGTGGCGGCCAACAGAGGTCCCGACCCAAGGTCGAGGACTCCAGGGCAGAGGGCAGAGCAGAAGCCGCGGGCAACGCGAGGGGAGTAGGAGGGACACGGCGATGACAATGGTGGGAAAGCCAGGAGGCTGCATCGAGCCCACCTGAGCCGCAGCTCTCGCGCTGAGGGCCCGCGTGGGATAACGGCCGTCGCACCTGCCACGGCGCTGCGAGACCGTGCGTTTCCAACGGGCGCGCCCCTCTAGGTTCGGTTTTCACCGCGGTCCGCCCATTGTGCTGAGTCACGGGCGAGATCCACCAAGTGCCCTGAGGCAGTGCATGGAAAATAAGTTATAATTCGGGGAAGAATTAAAAAAAGAAAGGAAAAAAAAAAGGAGGGGAGGGGGCTTTGCTACTTGGTTTCCTGGGTAGCATATTGGAGGAAAAGGCAAAGGATGGGGACCTCGGGAGCCGGACCCAGCAACTGAGAGAAAGAGGACCGGAGCCGGAGCATGCCCAGCCGCTAAGCGCCCCTTGAGGGCACGGCCGCCAGGGCCTCGGCCTCCACGTCAATCAGGTCCTCCCGATGCTGCTATTGGCCAGGTGCTTCCATGGCCTCCAAGTTGCCCACCTCCCAGCTGCTCGGGGTTTACTTCCCCAAAGTACACGGGCCCCACCTTGTGGAGCAACCGCTCCTGCATGGAAAACGGGAAGGAGGCCTAGCCAATGAGAGCAGTTCCGGACAGATATTGGCTGCCGTGGGCATCGGTCAAGGAACTTCCCACCCTCCTTTCCACGTTACCTTTCAGTCATTGGGCCCTCAGAGTGCCAATCTGTTACTAGGGAAACGGGATCGTTACGGTCTCATAGGTGTGAGTCAAAGCCAATCAAGAGCCACGCCTTCAGCCTGAGTCCGTATCCAATTGCTGGTCGAAGTGCCCAGAGGACGCAGTTGGGATTGGTCGTCCTCTCGCCTGGCCTGGCCACAACAAGTTAGGCTGAGTCGCGATTATAAAGACCGGCGGCGGCGGAGCACGCGTGTGTTCGGACGCAGTTGCGTGAGCGCTTTTTGCTTCCCTTCGTGCGGTGGAGCAAAGCTCGTTCCTCTCCCCACCCTCAGCCGCGCCGGTACGTCGGGGTGTGGGCGGGGCGGGGTGGCTTGAGGTCGGGGACGAGCCGGGGCGGCGGGGAGAGAGACAGGAAACCCGCACAGTGGCCGCGCGGGGCGCGTCCCCCCACCCCCACCCCAACGGCCGTCGGCGCGCGCGGCGCCGCTCCGCGCCTCCCCCGCCCCATGGCTGGAGCGCGTGGCCGCGTCCTCCGCGTGCGCGTCTAACGGCCACGCGAGGCTGGAGCGAGCCGCGGCTGCCGCCGCCCGAATGCCCAGTTGACCTCCCGGGCCTTGGGGTGGGGGTGGAGGGGGGTCCCCGCGCTGCCGACCCGGGCCACGCGTCCTCGCAGTCTTGCATGGCTTGGAGCAGAGGCGCTCTGCCTCGCCCAGGATTCCGGAGGAGGCTTCCATGTAGGGACAGCACTCGAGCGCCACGAGAGTCGGCTCGCCATGCCGAATTGGCGCGGCTGGGTGGCGCGGGCGGGGACATGGGAAGTGTGCGGTCCGCATGGCCGCTGAGCTCAGGGTGCCCGCCGCACTGTGGGGAGGTATGTGAGCGCCCGGGGTGGCGGAGGGCGGCGCAGGCCCACGGACGGAAGGGGCAGGTGTTGGGGAGAACCCCGGCTTGCGCGGGCTCCCGTTCCCCCACTAGCCCGTGCGCGTCCTGGGCACCTTTGCCCCTTGGAGCAGTTGTGCCTTGGCGAGGCCCCATGCGCGGCGCGCGGCGGGGGCCCGAGTGCACTTGGGCTCGGGCTGGGAGTGGGATTGCCACAAAGGGAAGGGCGTGTGGGGCTTCTTGCCTGCATGTACTCGTATAGATAGTAGAAACGCCGCCTTTACGGCTCTTGGTGGAAATAGAAACCTTAGTAAGCGTGGGATGAACGCCAGGGTGTCCCTCGTCGGGTGTGTGGAGCTCTTAGCAGTGTGATGGGGAATTCCCGCCAGCGGGGAGGGAGTCAGGATCTGATGGTCAGCTTTTTGGCTTCTAATGAGGTTTTGGGGGAAAAAAAGACGCTTGATAAATTTAAGAGGTGTGAGATGGAGATTCCTCCCAGCACCTGTGGTTTGAAATTTGAGTGGGAAGCATAGCACCCAGTTACATTGTAACCTTGATCGTGGCTGGGAGACTCCGAGGTAAACGAGTTTGTCTGCAGCCCGTGGAGTAGTGTGCAAGGCTCCTGGATATAGGCAAGGACGAGGCAGACACGTTGCTTACCTTCCTGAAACTTAACTTTTAAAAGCCGGGAACTCCTCGGCTTAGTGAAATGTTTTTCATCTGGCAGGTCTGTAGCATTCATTTTAGCTCATGGAAAGCTTAATTTCAGGCAGAATTGGGAAATGGAAGTTTTATTTAGGATTAGCTTTTTGAGTTTTTTTTTTGTGTAAGATTTTTGTTGTTGTTTTAATGATTTTCTTTACGCCCTCCTTTGCAGATCGCTATAAGGTATTTCTGGATGTTGAAGGGAATACAAAACACACCCTTGTAAAGGGATTAAAATTCTGGAGGAAGCTTAATATTTGTGTTTTCTGTAACAAGTACTTTCCCTTGTGTTAACAGAAGGTAGCAATAGAGTCAAAGTAATTGGGGGTAGAAGCGCCTACCTTTGGTGTTGCTGTAAGTAATGAATGTGTCCTCTACAGTATAACATTGTTTCCCTTGGAGCACCTCTTGTAGCCACTCGAGTTACCTGCATTTTAACTAGAGACCTGATTTGAGCCAAGAATTTTAAATTGCCTCATGGTGAAATATTAAAATGATCTATATTTAGATATTAAGCTAATATTACTCTTTGAAGTAAAACTATATCAGAATGAAAGTATCTTGCACACTAATTAAAGGAGCGTTTATTTTGCCTTTGGATATTTTTAAAAAGGAAAGGACTGCTCCTGACCTCAGCAAGTGGTCAGGAATCACAATTCTGTAATTCCTTGACACACTCGCGCTGCAGTTGAGGATTTGTGCCTTCTTTCTGAACAAGTCACTTCAAGTCACTTGTGATGTCAGTACTGGGCTCTCCCCGCTTCCAGTGGAGTGATGGGCTGCTGCTCCTGGAGGGCGGTACTTGTCGGTCTGTTTTGTTCTAACAGGTAAACTAGTAGGCAGGTAATTCACATCTCACTTAGTTTTTGTTCTTGGCTTACAGTTCTCCTGGGAGACAATAGGAGATTTTGGTAATGATTGTGACCTATTTAATATACCAGTACTTTACAGAGAGAGTAAGGGGCACAGATCAGCTTTCCATTTTCATAGATTTGTAATGGTGTTGAGTTGCAGTGTAAGTAAGACCTGCTGATGACGAAAATTCATGTTTTTGTAATTTTTTTCTTTGATCTTTTAACTTTTGCATTAAAAAAAATAGAATTCATATAGATACTGTCTGCTCATGAATTAAATTGTGCTTTTTGACTGCTTTGGACAAAACTATTGGTTTTGTAAAGGGGGAAAGTTATCAAAAGCAGATTTGTCAGCTGGGAAGAACCTGGATTGTCCTTCCAAGTCCTGGGGTTAAATTTAGACTCAGCAGCTATAATCTCACTTGCAGTTAGGGATCGCATTGTGACAGTTAACTGTCTGAGAAGTCAGCTCTGTGGCCGGCCGGGAGGGCTGCGTTGCAGCTCAGGTGCTGTGGCAAGCAGGGGTTACCCACACATGGAGGTGACAAATGCTTTACGCAACGAGAGCAATGAGACATATCAGGCTGGCTTTGGGGTTTTGGTATGTTTGCTATATTTTAGACATTCAGGAAAAAGTATAGGTGAAAGAGGATTCAGAGAAAGCAGTCTGGATCCCTGGCTAGACCCCTTCCTTAGAGCACACCTGTGTCGGGGCTCGTCAGATAGGCTTGCACAGGCCTACTTTTTTTTTTTTAAAAAAGGATTTTGAGGGCCTGGCGGCATAGCCTAGTGGCTAAAGTCCTTGCCTCGAATGTGCCGGGATCCCATATGGGCGCCAATTCTAATCCCGGCAGCTCCACTTCCCATCCAGCTCCCTGCTGGTGGCCTGGGAAAGCAGTCGAGGACAGCCCAAAGCTTTGGGACCCTGCACCCGCGTGGGAGACCTGGAGGAAGTTCCTGGCTCCTGGCACCGGATCAGCACAGCACCGGCCGTTGCGCTCACTTGGGGAGTGAATCATCTGATGGAAGATCTTCCTCTCTGTCTCTCCTTCTCTCTGTATATCTGACTTTCCAATAACAATAAATAAAATCTTTAAAAAAAAGAAGAAAAAAAAGGATTTTGAAAATTTATTTGAAAGAGAAAAGAAGAGACCGAGGTCTTCTGTGCGCAGGAACCCTAAGAGGTGCCAGTGCGGCTGGAGGTTGCTCTGCTAGCTAAGCCACAGCTCTGCTCCCCCGCCCCCATTTTTCCCCTAATGTTTTTCGTCCAATCCATCCAGGACGTCTGTGCCTGCGTTGGCCTTTGGTCCTCCATCTCCTGATCTACACAGCTTGTTTCCTTTGTCTTTCTTGACTATCATTTCAAACATTGTTTAAAGAATTAGAGAGAGTTTCCATCTGGGGGTTTATTCCTCAGATCCCAGCATTGGTCAGTGCTGAGACCTGGGGAGCCAAGTGCAGATTTCTCGTGGGTAGTGGGCATTACGTCCCTTGGACCATCGCTGCTGTTTCCAGGGAGTGGGCAGCAGAGCCCGGCCACCCCTGGGGATGCAGTGGGTGGACCAGTAATAATACCCCTGCTGTCCACCTCAGTGCTATTGGTCTCATTTACGTTTGTTCACGTTTTGGATAAGAATGTCACAGGTGACTTAACACTTAACATCCCGCAGAAATCATGACTGACAGGATATAGCTGCCATCTGTTTTTTTTTTTTTTTTAAAGATTATTTTTACTGGAAATTCAGATATACAGAATGCAGGAGAGACAGAGAAGAAGATCTTTGAACTTATGGTTCACTCCCCAGGTGACCGCAATGGCTGGAGCTGCGCTGATCTGAAGCTAGGAGCCAGGAACCTCTTCTGAGTCTCCCACATGGGTGCTGGGTCACAAGGCTTTGGGCCGTCCTCAACTGCTTTCCCAGGCCACAAGCAGGGAGCTGGATGGGAAATGGAGCTGCTGGGATTAGAACCGGCGCCCATATGGGATCCCGGCACGTTCAAGGCGACAACTTTATAACCACTGGGCCAATGCACCAGGCCCCTCTTTTTATAACTTATTCATTTTTATTTGAAAGAATATACAGAAAGAGAGGGAGAGACTGGTCTTCATCTGTTGGTTTACTCCCCAGATGGCATCAATGGCCTCAGCTGAGCCAAAGCAAGGAGCCAGGAGCTTTTTCCGGGTCTCAGAGTGGGTGCAGGACGCCAAAGGCCATCCTCTGCTGCTTCCCAGGCCATAGGCAGGAAGCTGACAGAGAAGTGGGACAGTCAGGATACGCACTGGCACTCATGTAGAACTCTGGATGCTAGGCCATGGTGTACCCACTAGGCTATTGTGCTGGACCCTCTTCATTGCATAGATAAAGTTATTGACTCCTTTCTCCTTGAGATTAAATTTTTTTTAGTTTATTTGAAAGGCAGGAAGAGGGTGATAATATAATTTAATTTTTAAAAGATTTATTTTATCTTCCATACACTGGTTCACTGCCCAAATGGCCACAATGGTCAAAACCTGAGCCTGTCTGAACCAGGAGCTTCTGGGTCTCCCTTGTGGGTGCAGGTTCCCAAGGACTTAGGTCATTCTTGTTGCTTTCCTAAGCCATGGAGATCTGAATTGCAAGTGGGAAGTGGAGCAGCTGGGACAGGAACCAGTGTCCACATGGGATCCCTACTTGGGATCCCTACTGTTGGAGGGCGAGGGTACAACCACTAGGCCTTTGTGCTGGCTCCCTGATGTTGAGTGTTTTAAAGATAAATTTCCTTTTTTTTTTTAAGATTTATTTATTTTTATTACAAAGTCAGATATACAGAGAGGAGGAGAAACAGAGAGGAAGGTCCTCCGTCTGATGATTCACTCCCCAAGTGAACGCAACGGCCAGTGCTGTGCCGATCCAAAGCCAGG